TTATTGTCGAAGACCTTTTAAGTTACTCCCGAAACATAATTATAAACCTCTCGTTGCTCGAGAAATTCAATACATTTCGTTTCAAGTTGAAGTACCCTGTGACGTCACTAGCACCAAGTTTTGAAAGGAAATCTGTGTAAGCGCTCCCGTGTACTGGAAAAGCAATATCCTTGCTTTGAGCATTTTCATGCAAAGGAATTTTGCGATATACTTTTTTTTGCCGTAACAAGAACCTAAAAGGTAGTAGTTTTCGTAGTTGTTTTCTCTCGTCGCCGCCTTCGTTCGCGGTTAGGGGTTCGCGTTTCTTTTCTAAATAGTTTTTTTTTTGCTCCACGCCGGATACGTCGCGCACCTTACGGCGCGAGCGATTGAATTTCAAACAGGGGCGGCGGCGTACGTATAAAATTGGAAAAGTTTAAATCTCGACCCTCTCACGTATAATTGTTTACTTGGCGCTTCGCGGATCCGTGTCATGTTACCCTCTCGGCGAGAGGCAATAAAACTCCCTCGATTATGCCGTTAGTTTACGTCAATCGAGCGACAAATTGTGTGACAGTTCCTGATGTTTACCGGCTGCAAATTGACAACGTATCACTGTTATAGAAATTTGCTCTACCACTTAATCTCGCTTCCGTTATTTAATATCTGTAACTCGATTTGTCATTTTTGAAGTGTTTGTCTCGATCAAACCGATCGCTCGGAGGGTGCGAGATCATGATCACATCACTGGTGTGTTTTGAGGTGGTGCGCATTAAAGGTGTAACTTTGGAAACAGTCGAATGGAAGGTTATGTTTCGGAGCGGATAAAAAATGTAAGGTAAATAAAACGTACACGCGAGCGAAGGTAGTTTTATGGCAAGTGGAAATCGTGTACGAGAATGCATCTCGCAGGCACAACGTTTCATCATTTATTAACAAGCACTTAAAGTACTCGAGAGCTTTTAGCGCTTGAAGTGGGTATAGTGCGGTGAACTTCCACCTTCCCAACGATTTAAACTCGGGGTATAAAAATGTGCCAAAGCTGTCACCTTTTTTACACGTGCGGTTTCTCGCGTTTGCTGTTGCTCTCCGCTGACGTCACAATAATCGCGGCGGCGGAGGTGAGATTCTTTCTCTAACCTCTCTCGCATTCAGCGATTGGCTCAAAAGGCACAAACGTAACCAACACAAAGGAAGGCGAAGCGTAATTTAACTGTTCTAAGTTGTCATATAATCGAGAAACGCCAAGCTGCTTTGTCTCGATCCGCGGGGGATTATTATTATGCATCCCCCTCTAAATAACACACAAAATACACGCCTTGCTGCACGTTATGAATGCGAACTTCTCGATGCGTCTTCAAACAAAAGCGCGCACATAAATCGCTCCGAAGCAGTCGAGGCAAACTTTCCCTTAGCGGTCCTCCGTGCGCGGATTTAATATAAATACGTAATCAAGTGGAGTAATTTTTTCCCCCTGAAAAACTCGTCCTCGCCGAGATTTTCTAAAACCGTCCCCGTTCCCCAGAGGTTCGCGATTACGCCGTCTACCGCGAGCGCCGCCTAACAGAAACAAAGTTTTCTCTTTTATTACGATCATCATCTCAAATCTCTAAAGCTCAGATGTTTTCTATACTTTCTTTCTCGAGAAGTAGAAAAAAAGACGTTTGATTTTATTTAATATACAGCGAGCTCGCCCCGAGGCGATTTTATTTTTTTATTTATTACGCACCGGCGGCGTACAGAAATTTCATTTTCGAATCGCATTACGAGGCGAACGCGGCCCATTGGCTTTTACGCTGTTAATTATTTTTATTCAACAGTTGAAATTCAATTTTATCGCGCATTAAACGTCCCTCTTTCCGTTCGAGAGAAAAGTGCGCCGGAACATAAAATAAGGGCCAATTCGAAACGAAACGGCGATTAACCTTCATCGATGTTCGTCTAATGAAGATTGCGATGGGCAGATATCGACCTTTTTTTCGATGTACTGGGCGTGGCTAAATGGGGATGTCGAACGAAATTTTTTGCGGATCTGTTGATTTGGGTGAAACAATCGAAATGGCTCTCAGGTTCGCACCAAATAAAGTCGTGATTAATATGCAATGCAGTCAGCTGCAAAACGATTAGTTACGAGTTCGACGTCTGAAGTGACAGTCCAGGGGATAGTCACTCAACTGTCCTACTTTTTGAGCAATAATCGCAAAAGAGGAAAGAAAACTAACCCCAGATTCTGGTGCCGTGCCCTTTAAGTGTTGAAAGTGTGTTAGTAGTGAATTAACTGGGGACGTTTACAATTTTATAATCTTGAAAGTATGAAATGAGAAACCTGGAATTTTGCGCCCATGAAATCCTGGAAAAATTGATGTATGGGAACATGGTGGTCTTGTTAATTTACTCGACTTCTTTACACTCATAAAATTTTCGAACACTCGGGCGTATTTCAGATCCCCTCCTCCCTCCCGTACTATGGTCTCCCACAAAACGTTGGGCCGCAAGGAGACGTTTGATGGTCTCTTTCTAAAAATTTTGGCGTAAATGCAGCACTTGAAGAAGAATGTAGAACCGGTTTGGGGACTATGGATACCCCCCAGCCACTACACTGTGTGGGGGGGGGGTATATAATTTTCAATAGGCAACTATCGATTGTGAATAGTTAGGGAGAACCTTTTGTGAGGGAACGTAGCTCTGGGGGTATGGAATTGGTACAGGAAGACTCGGCCCCGTAGTAGTCAGCACTCGGTTTCGGGACAACTCGGCTACGGGTCGTCTGAAAGCCGAGTATTTCGGTGCCGAGTAGTACGGTTCTAAAATGTTCATGCCATGGGGTGGTATGTGTGGCTGGAGGTATTCCACACCACCCAGACCTCCCATTGCAACGTTTACGCCTAGGGCCCACCTTCGATGGTTTCTCTAAAAATTATGCAAAAAGCGCTTGGAGGAGAATATAGAATCGGGCAGTCTGGGGGTATAGAATACCTCCCTCCCACACATACGACCCCACTATACGAAAATCTTACGGTGGTTCGAAGATTTTCCTGTAATGGGGTTGAATGTGTTACTGGGGAGTATTCCATACCCCCCAGACCCCCCGGTGCATCGTTCTCCCACACATAACGTTTAGGCCTAAGGACTCACCTTCGATGGTCTCTAAAAATTGCTGTAAAAGTTCCAAAAGCACTTGGGGGAGAATATAGAACCGGGGGGGTATGGAATACCATACCCCCCCAACCATACATACCGCTCCACTACACAAAAACCTTATAGTAGGGCTAAGATTTTTCCTGTAATGGGGTTTTATGTGTTGCTGCGGGGTATTCCAGACCCCCCGGTGCATCGTTTTCCCACACACAACGTTTAGGCCTAAGGACTCACCTTCGATGGTCTCTAAAAATTGCGGTAAAAGTTCCAAAAGCACTTGGGGGAGAATATAGAACCGGGGGGGTATGGAATACCATACCCCCAGCTACACATACCACCCCACCACACGAAAACCTTAATAGTAAGTTTAAGATTTTCTTGCAATGGGGTTGTATGTGTTGCTGGGGGGTATTCCATACCCCCGAGCCCCCCCGGTGTATCGTTTTCCCACACCCAATGTTTAAGCCTAAGAACTCACCTTCGATAGTCTTTAAAAATTGCGGTGAAAGTTCCAAAAGCACTTGGGGGAGAATATATAACCGGGGGGTATGGAATACCAATACCCCCCAACCATACATACCGCCCCACTACACGAAAACCTTATAGTAGGTCTAAGATTTTTCCTGTAATGGGATTGTATGTGTTGCTGGGGGGTATTCCATACCCCCCAGACCCCCCGGTGCAGCGTTTTCCCACACACAACGTTTAGGTCTAAGGACTCACCTTCGAAGATTTCTAAAAATTGCGGTCAAACTTGGGGGAGAATATAGAACCGGGGGGGGGGGTATGGAATACCATACCCCCCAGCCATACATACCGCCCCACCACTGAAAAACCTTATAGTAGGTCTAAGATTTTTCCTGTAATGTAGTTTAGGTGTTACGGGGGGGGGGGGGGGGGTCTCTAAAAATTGCGGTGAAAGTTCCAAAAGCACTTGGGGGAGATATAGAACCGGGGGGGTATGGAATACCAATACCCCCCAGCCATATATACCGCCCCACCACACGAAAACCTTAATAGTAGGTCTAAGATTTTCTTGCAATGGGGTTGTATGTGTTGCTGGGGGGTATTCCATACCCCCCCCCAGGCCTCCCGGTGTATCGTTTTCCCACACCCAATGTTTAAGCCTAAGAACTCACCTTCGATAGTCTCTAAAAATTGCGGTAAAAGTTCCAAAAGCACTTGGGCGAGAGTATGCAACCGGGGGGTATGGATACCAATACCGCCCCGAAGTTTTGAGATCACTTTTTTACTTTGCTTTTATTGTCCTCTCGTTGGAGAATACGTTTCGGTCATCCACTTACAGGGTGCGAGACCATGATCACGTCACCGGTCGGTTTTGAAGCGTCGCGCATTAATGATGTAAGATTCAGTTCGTTTGAAATTCTCAAAATATGGGACTTAATAAACGTTGCGTCTTTTATAATATGGAAATATACAGCAGGTTGAAATTTTGGAAAATTACGGGCTGAGAAACGGGACAATTAGCGTAAAATGTGTGAGAGCGACGACTAATCAGTGCATGTAAGCCCTTTTTCAGTTGTCGCTCGCATTAATGGTGCATTCAGTTGCGTGTCTCTGGGAACTTTTAGTTTTAGTTATGCAATCCGGTGAGGTGAGTTACATTTTCGCATGGAAATTTCAAATTAAATTCTTGCATGTCGGAGACGCGAAACATGTTTAGTTGATGAATATAGATGGGGGGGTGAGGGGGGGGGCTGTTTTCAAAAACCGCGTTACAATGCCATTTAAACCGCAAACGCCATTAGGGGGAGCTCGCGCGCGTTTAATTAACCTCTCGTTCCCCCATTTTTTTTTACGGCGGCGTTTCCGTTAACTTTTTTCCGAATTTAATTATATTCTAAAATCGCTTTCTGTTTCAGGTACGTCACAAATACTTTCGCTTTAGAGAAGTGAAGCGGAAAATCAATTCCTTGACATTTCGTTCCTTTATTGTAAACGCTCTTCGCTCGGGGCGTCAAACTTCGTCGCGCCGCTGCATTCGACCGAAGGTAAGTTACGGGTCGACCGTTTTAATTATTGTCGAAGGACGGGACGTCACTTCCGCCGCGCTTAATTCGTCGCGAACGATTCTCTTCTCGTTTCCGAAACGCTGATTGATCGCATTCGGGTTTGTCACTTTTGCGGTCGCGAGAGCGGCTTCGTTTAATGAAAATAAAAGCGGTCAATTTGCGGTTTTCGACAATCACGTCCGTACTTAACAGACAATGAAATAATTATAGTCGCCCGATCCCCAGGGAATTCCGTTCTCCGAAAACAAATTCGTCCCTTTCAAACTACTTCGCACTGTTCTTTTGGGATCTTTTTTGAATCTCAAATTTTAAAAAAATCCAGAACTACTTACTCCTTTAAGAATCCAAAAATTTTTGGAATGTTTGAAGATCATGCATCTAGCGGCTAGCCCAATTAAGGTTTAGGATTTTTGTCCATCGGCAGTACTTCTCTTTGCACCAATATCGACCCAAGCTAAACGCGATTTGAAATATTGGTCCTGGTCGAGCCCCAAATTAAGAAATGATTACCGATCTAAAATTCGGATCAAAATTTGTGAATTTTATAACAAACAAGTTGTAAATCAGCATATGCATGATTAAAGCGCATTTTTGGTAATGCAGGTCAGTATTTTATTAGCGAAGTTTAAAATTATCGATCTCACGAGTCATTTTGGCTGCGTTAAATAATTAATTTTATTTAATTTCAATTGACGGTACGTCTTCATTTTGTAAAACAAATCACAAAGTAAATAATAAGTTTTTATACTGGTAGCGCTATCTAACGGTAAAATTATAGCACCTCCGAAACCCATATCGAAATTATTTTCTTCAATTATCGATTTCACAAGTAATCTAACTCAAAATAGAGTAGTGCCTGCACATCTACACTATAGCAGAAAGCTTTTAGTGAAAATTTGAAGTCTCTAGCTATTGTAGTTGTGGAGATCTAACGCGGACAGCCGGCCTGCCAGCAATGACGAATATAATAGCGTATTTTTTTCAAAAATGCGCTAAAAATTTCACTCACTGCGAGTTTCAAAATTCAAAAAATTCGCCAAGTCTAATGCTCTCAGGATCCAAACTTGTTTGGAATTTGAAGACCTTTTTAGCCCAATGACGGCTGGAGATTTCCGAATTATAAAATCATAGGAATCCCAAATTTTAAAAATCTTCAGATTCAAAATTTTGGAATCTCAAAGTTCAAAAAAGTTTATCTAGTCTAGTCAAAATTTGGTAATCGTGATTTTAGCTCAATGAGGGTTTGGGATTCCCGAATTACAAAATCATGAGACCCAGTTTAAAAAATTTTAAATGCTTAATTTGGGAATCTTTTCAAAATCTAATCTTTCAAGATTCCAAAACTTTTTTGAAATTTTAAAAAATAATAAGAGCTCCAAATACCCAGTACCCATTTTCGATTTGGCTGTTAACATTGATGTTTTTATGTGCCCATGCGTGTAGGCCCATTCTGAGGCGTCACAGAAGGCGATCTATTTTTTCGTGTTTGGTTGAAATTGCAAAAAATCGATCATTTCTGCCTAATTTCGCGTCTGTAAGTAATCAAAGGACATATTTCCTACCTACGTATTAAATCGGCCGTGGAAAATTCTCGCCGGTCGCTTAAGAATCAATCCCCTAAAAGCGGCAGGATAATCTCGTCGTGTTTCATTTTTATAGCGTCGCGATAAGACGATAAATGTAAAGTAGATCTAAGGGAAGAAAGAATGAAATTCGGCATCAGCTCGAAACCCAAATTTTCGTTACAATCCGATATTCTCGGCGTCGTAAAAATCTGTGTCTTTATTTTTTTTGTAAAGGTCGACGCTGCGGCCCCACGTCGGGGCGCCAATTCCGACCGGCGCGGCGGCCTGCCCCCGCGTCGGGCGCCTAATAAACGCGAATCAAAAACTAATAAACAACCGCGCGCGAGTCCGTGATATGATTTAATTTCGATCTCGAAGTCCATCGCGTTATGTACATACGGGCCTGAGAGTGTCGAATAAATGTAATAGAACTTCAGTTAACAACTTTCATTTCATTGAAAACGTGACTGGAGTTTTTAATTTGTTTCACTGTTTCATCCCTGACCCTCGCCCCCTCCCAAACGCCCTCATCGCCGGTTATTAAAAATAGAGGCGCGCGAGAAAGTTATCTTGATTTAACATAAGCTTTTTTTTAATGAAAGCTTTGCTTTCATAATGCGAGAACGCAGGTGAAAATTGAAAAGGAGATCGTTATCGGGCGTACCTACCTCTTTTGAATTATTCTTTAACCTCACTTTTTTTCTGCTTTTCGCTTTGTTTCGGCGCTCGCTGATCTTTTCAGACGACGTTGAAAAGGTGATCTCGATCAGGGCCGGACTCCGCTCGAATGGCTTGTCTTACGTTTAATTGCGGGAATTCAATCATATCAACTGAAAGAATGCGGTCGATGATTGGGTCATTTATTTTCGGAGATAAATTTTGCCCTTAAGCAGTAAATAGGAAATAATTCGTTCCTGTCACGATCTGCTCGTGCAGCGTATTCTGCAAATAACCGGGGGAGGGGAGGGGGGATTCCAGACCTCTCAGTAACTTCCTTTCAAACAAATAACTTCCTTTTCCTGGAACCTTTCTGCATTTTCATGGATATTCCATACCCCCCAGACCCTCCGGTAACACTCTCAAAAAACATTTTGCCCTCATGGCTCTGACAATACTTTGGGAAGAAAGATGGTAATACCGGTGGGTCTGGGGGGTATGGGACCCCCCCCCCCAGCGGCACTCTCAGCAAAGGAGGACCCGATAACTCCTTTTCCTATAAACTTTCTGCATTTTCATGGGTATTCCACACCTCCCAGACCCCCCGGTAAAACACTCAAAAAAACATTTTGCCCTCATGGCTCTAACAATACTTTTGGGAAGAAAGATCGTAATACCGGGGGGTCTGGGGGGGATGGAATACCCCCCAGCGGCACTCTAAGCAAAGGAGGACCCGATAACTCCTTCTATAAACTTTTTGCATTTTTATGGGTATTCCACACCCCCCAGACCCCCCGGTAACACTCTCAAAAAAACATTTTGCCCTCATGACTCTAACAATACTTTTGGGAAGGAAGCTGGTAATACCGGGGGTCTGGGGGGTATGGAATACCCCCCAGCGGCACTCTCAGCAAAGGAGGACCCGATAACTCCTTTTCCTATAAACTTTCTGCATTTTCATGGGTATTCCCCACCCCCCAGACCGCCCTGTAAAACACTCAAACAACATTTTGCCCTCATGGCTCTAACAATACGTTTGGGAAGAAAGATCGTAATACCGGGGGGTCTGGGTGGTGTGGAATACTCTCCAGCGGCACTCTTAGCAAAGGAGGACCCGATAACTCCTTTTCCTATAAACTTTCTGCATTTTCATGGGTATTCCACACCCCCCAGACCCTCCGGTAACACTCTCAAAAAAACATTTTGCCCTCATGGCTCTAACAATACTTTTGGGAAGAAAGATCGTAATACCGGGGGGTATGGAATACCCCCCAGCGGCACTCTCAGCAAAGGAGGACCCGATAACTCCTTCTATAAACTTTTTGCATTTTTATGGGTATTCCACACCCCCCAGACCCCCCGGTAACACTCTCAAAAAAACATTTTGCCCTCATGACTAACAATACTTTTGGGAAGAAAGCTGGTAATACCGGGGGGGTATGGAATACCCCCCAGCGGCACTCTTGGCAAAGGAGGACCCGATAACTCCTTTTCCTATAAACTTTCTGCATTTTCATGGGTATTCCCCACCCCCCAGACCGCCCTGTAAAACACTCAAACAACATTTTGCCCTCATGGCTCTAACAATACGTTTGGGAAGAAAGATCGTAATACCGGGGGGTCTGGGTGGTGTGGAATACTCTCCAGCGGCACTCTTAGCAAAGGAGGACCCGATAACTCCTTTTCCTATAAACTTTCTGCATTTTCATGGGTATTCCATACCCCCAGGCAATCCGGTAACACTCTCAAACAACATTTTGCTCTCATGGCTCTAATTATACTTTTCGGGAAGAAAGAACTTACCATGGGAGGGTCTGGGGGAATAGGGGAGTAATAGAAAGATACCTTTTCGTCCCTCATGTCCTCCTGGTAATCAATGAGTTTGATAACCGATATTCTGTGGATTAGGAGCACACACACTCCCTCACAGATTATATTTTTCTGATTCAAAAGTGCTAAAATAAAGTGCTGAGGTGTTAGTGACGGTCCATCATGTACTCCCGATATTTTTGCGGGAGTTTGAGCTCCTAATTCACACAGATTATATTTAAAAATTTATACCTATAGTATTTTCTGACTGCCAGGATAACATGACCAATTTCGATGGTAAAACGTCTGAACGCTCTAAAAGTGAATTTCTCTAAAAACGATACACTCGGTGCGACCGATGGTAAAAATGTGCGAGTCCGGCTCTGAACTCGTTTGTTCTTTGTTCACGTACTCATCGCGCGTCCTCTGACGATCCAACAGAAATTGGAAACTGAAAGAAATTGTTGCATCTCTTGAATAATTTAGCGAGCGGGGACTTCGATTTAAATTTGTACGCGTTGACCGTAATAATTTTGCGAGAATCGAAGCTCGAACTTTACGCTACCTGTCGAGTGGCTGTCCGTATATAAATCGAGAGGCTCATCGTTTATGTACCTTCGGCTCGACGTCTTAATCTATCATCTTCCTAAGGGATGTCAAACGCAGACGGAAATTTATAAGCTCGTTCGGGCGCAAACCGCGACTACTGCCGTTACAGTCATTTTTATGAAGCGCTAGCTAGTTTTACACTTGGAGCGTGTGCGCGACGATTCGTCAATGTCGAAATATATTACACTTTTCAATTTGGCCCCATTCGCGTTAGCGGTGTAATCCGCTTCTTAAGAAATTGGCCGCCGTCAACGCGGGGCCCATAAGTGGCACCCCGCGAGCGACGCGGGGCACCAGTCTAATCTCGGCGCGACGACGCCTCCGACATTTAGAGTAAAA